GAGTTGGTTTTTTGAAAAGATAAACAAAATTGACAAACCCTTAGCTAGATTAACAAAGAAAGAGAGATGACTCAAATAAATAAAATCAGAAATGAAAAAAGGAGATGTTACAGCTGATACCACAGAAATACAAAGGATCATAAGAGACTACTATATGTGAATAACTGGAAAACCTAGAAGAAATTCATAAGTTCTTAGACACATACAACTTCCCAAGGTTGAATCATGAAGAACTAGAAAACCTAAACAGACCAATAATAAGTAGTGAATTGAAGCAGTAATAAAAGTCTCCCAACAAAGAAAACCTCAGGACCAGATGGCTTCACTGCCGAATTTCACCAAACATTTAAAGAAGAATTAATACCAATTTTTCTCAAACTCTTCCAAAAAATTGAAGAGGAGGGAATACTTCTAAACTCATTCTACGAGGCCAATATTAACCTTATTCCAAATCCAGAAAAAGATACAACAACCAAAAAGAAAACTACAGACCAATATCCCTAATGAACACAGATGCAAAGATCCTCAATAAAACACTAACAGAATCTAACAACACATTAAAAAGATTGTTCACTGTTATCAAGTGGGACTCATGCCAGGGATGCAAGGATGGTTCAACCTATGCAAATCAATAAATGTGATACATCGCATCAACAGAATGAAGGGGAAAAAAAACATATGAATCATTTCAATAGATGTAGAAAAAACATTTGATAAAATTCAACACTCCTCTGTAATAAAAATACTCAAAAAACTAGGTATAGAAGGAATGTACATCAACACAATAAAGGCCATATATGGCAAACTCACAGCTAATATTGTATTGAATGCACAAAAATTGGAGGCTTTTCCTCTAAGATCTGGAACAAGACAAGGATGCCCACTTTCCACAGTCTTATTCAACATAGTATTGGAAGTTCTAGACAGCACAATAGGGCAAGAGAAAGCAATAGAAGTCATCCAAATTGCAAAGTAGGAAGTCAAACTGTCCCTATTTTCAGATGATATGATCCTGAACATATAAAACCCTGAAGATTCCACCAAAAAATTATTAGAACTAATAAATGAGTTGAGTATAGTGGCAGGATACAAAATCAACACATGAAAATGGATAGTCTTCCTATATGCCAATAACAAAATAGCTGAAGAAGAAATCAAGAAAGTAATCCCATTCACAATAGCTACCAAAATATTTAAATACCTGGGAGTGAATTTAACATAGGAGGTGAAAGACCACTATGATGAGAATTATAAAACATTGGTGAAAAAAATTAAGAGGACACAAATAAATAGAAAGATAACAGCTATTCATGGGTTGGAAGAATTAACATAATCAAAGTGTCCATATTACTCAAAGCAATCTACACATTCAATACAACCTCTATCAAAATACCAATGACACTCTTCACAGAAATAGAAAAAATGAATTTAAAATTTGTATGGAACCACAAAGGACCACATATAACTAAAGCAATCTTGTATAAAAAGAACAGAGTTGGAGGCATCACACTTCCTGACTTCAAAATATACTATAAAGCTGTAGAAACCAAGTATGTGATATACTAAAAGCTATAAAAAGCTACTGGCATAAAAATAAACAATGGCGAGCCCAGAAACAAAGCCACGCATTTACAGCCAACTGATTTTCTTTTTTTTTTTAAAAAAGATGACCGGTAAGGGGATCTTAACCCTTGGCTTGGTGTTGTCAGCACCACGCTCAGCCAGTGAGTGAACCGGCCATCCCTATATAGGATCCGAACCCGTGGCCTTGGTGTTATCAGCACCGCACTCTCCCGAGTGAGCCACGGGCCAGCCCTACAGCCAACTGATTTTCAACAAAGGTGCCAAGAATACACAGGGGGGAAAGGACAACCTCTTCAATAAATGGTGCTAGGAAAACTGGATATGCACATACAGAAGATTGAAACTAGGCCCCTGTCTCTTGCCATATATAAAAATCAACTCAAAATGTATTAAAGACCTAAATTTAAGACTGAAACTATGAAACTACTAGAAGAAAACAGGGGGAAATGCTACATGAAATGGGAATGGGCAGCACTTTTTTGAACAAGACCACAAAGGCACAGACAACTAAAGCAAAAATACAAAAATGGGACTACATCAAACTAAAAAACTTCTGCATAGCAAAGGACTCTATCAGCAAAGTGAAGAGACAACCTACAGAATGGGAGAAGGTGTTTGCAACCTACACATCAGACAAGGGGCTAATATCCAGAATATATAAGGAACTCAAACAATTCAACAGCAAAAAAAACAAATAACCCAATTAAAAAATAGGCAGAGGACCTGAACAGACATTTCTCAAAGGAAGATATACAAATGGCCCACAAGCACATGAAAAAACTGCTCGAAATCACTAATCATCAGGGAAATACAAATTAAAACACAATGAGGTATCATCTCACTCCAGTTAGAATGGCTGTTATCAACAAGACAGAAAATAACAAATGCTGACAAGGATGTGGAGAAAAGGGAACCCTCCTACATTGTTGGTGGGAATGTAAATTGGGACAGCCATTGTGGAAAACAGTTTGGAATTTCTTCAGAGAACTAAAAATAGATCTACCTTATGATCCAGCTATCCCACTACTGGGTATATACCAAATGGAAGTGAAATCAATGTATCAAAAAGACACCGGCACTCCCATGTTCATTGCAGCACTATTCACAATAACCAAGAGATGGATTCAAGCTAAATGCCCATCAACAGATGGATGTATAAAAAAACTGTGATATGTATACACAATGGAATACTAATCAGCTATAAAAAGAAATGATATCCTAGCATTTGCAGAAACATGGATGGAACTGGAAACCATTATGTTAAATGAAATCAGTCGGGCACAGAAAGACAATTACAGCATGGTTTCACTCTTATGTGGAATCTAAAGAAAAAAAGAGTGGTTCTCATGGAAATAGAGAGTAGAATAATTGTTATCAGAGGCTGTGGGGGGAGCATGGGGGAGAAGAAGTGGTGGACTAAGGGGTACAAAACTGCTATCTACCTTAAGTGATTTGTGCAGTATATGCGTGTATTGAAACAACACACTGTACCCCCCCCAAATAAATATAAATAAAATTGAAAAAAATATAGATAATAATCAGGCAACTTTCTGTGCAGTGCATTTTTGTGAGGACTAAACGTGAGGATTTCACACAAGGCACATGTGAACGCACCTAACCAGTCAGGACATAGAAGGTGCTTAAGAATTGACAACTTTGAAAAGAATTGTGAGATGGGGATCCACTGGGGCAGGGATCTTTGTCTTGCTCAAGTACACAGAACAATATCTGGCATGCAGTAGGTGCTCAATAAATATTTGTTGATTAATGAACCTGACACAGTAGGAGATAACCATTATCTAGATCAAAAAAGTGTTGTTTGCATGGATTCTATGTGGTAAAATTCCTTTTATACTTTTTCTAAGGAGAGAGGGTAGAAATGTTAACGAAAGCAAGAACTTTTGTAATACAAACTAAGATATTTCTTATGGTATTTCAGTATCAACAGTAATGAAGCATAAAGTAAATGCTGATTAAATGGGTGTTTGTGAGCGTTTCCTCATCCCATATAATTGCTCAGCCATTTAGGGGGACTGCTTGTGGCTCTTCCCTCAGGGCTGGTGTGGAATTGACCTAGGGGGAAGCATCTCTTTAGAGATTAGGAGCATGCTACTTTTCTGAGTCCCTAAATTAGTAGATGGGTAATCTTGGATGGGAAAGTTGGTTGTTTAGCTCACTCTACTGTCTTTTTTGGATGCAGGAAAAGAATAACAGCCAACCTGTCTCTATGGCAGTAATTCTTTGAAGCCAAGCATTTACAAGCGAGCAGACTAAATATTTGCATAAGAAGCTTTCTTTGGTTACAAACAACAGGGATTGATGAAGAATATCATCAGGACATTCTAAGGAAGAGAAGGAAGAATAGTCAGAACTAATAAAAGGCACACAATTTGAGCAATTAGAAAAGAACGTTGGCATCCTGGAATTTAGCAAAATTATTAAAAGAAAACTTTTTGCTTATTACAAGCTTATTACTGGAAATACCACGCTTTCTTTGGGTTTTACATTGTATTATAATGTTATAAATATTTTGACCATTTCTTGGTGGAAATTACTATTAGGGGGAAATGACCAATTTGCACTTGAAGAAAATGAAAATTGAAATAATTTCTCTCTTAGGTCTGACCTTGAAAACGTACACAGATTCGCCATTCCATTGATTTTTTAATATCCATATAAATGAATAAAATTAGATAACATTCTCTGTTTTTAATTACTCATTAAAGACATTTGAATTTAACACATTCATTATTCTTGTTTGAAGTATAATTCATTGGTATGACATAGAAAAAATGGCCTTTATGGCATAATTTTTCCTATCATTGGCTGCTCAGACATGATATTTTCTCACCAGAGAAAATATCTCTCTCAGACATTCCTATTTTCTTGCCCTTCAAAACCTACTGGTGTAGATACAATGAGAAGCTGCCAGTAGCCTCAGGGCTATTTCTTTTTTCTCCTTTCCTCCTTGAGTCACAAGAGTCATAGAAGTTCTGTGTAACTTGGGTGGGTTTGGTCAGAAATGTGAGATAATCTTGAAAGCAAGGAAGGGTTCTTCCCACAGAACCTCAGGGGGTACAGGGAAATCACTTGGCAATGGACAAAAGTTTAGATTGGCTGTGGAATTGGCTTTCAACATGTTAAACTGAGAGGCAGAACTCTAGGGTACACTGAGGCCAGGTCTAAGTATTGACAAAAAGCATAACTTGTGTCCTGAAAGATCCGGTTGAACATTTGTATAGCCCAAGGCCACCAGTGAGTGCCCCCAGGTCTCCGTTTTAGTTAGCAGCAGTGGCAGTACATTGACATATTTGAGAATGTGAAGGCTTCCTTCGCACACACGTCCACGCCCCAGCATGGGTCTGAACACAGGAGGATGCGATGGAGGTGGGAACCACTGTTTCCCTAGTTTCCTTTTAGAAGAGGAGTTTGCTGGTGAGAAAAGCGAGCAGGATGTGAATGGCGTCTGTGGTGGAGCTGCCAAAGGCTGTGTTGGCTGAGCTTCTGGTTGTCAAGGTTGTGGGAATCTTGGAGGTCAAGGTCATGGGAATCTTGGAGGACAAGGTCGTGGGAATCTTGGAGGTAAATGTCATGGGAATCTTGGAGGCTGAGGTTGTGGGAATCTTGGATGTCGAGGTTGTGGGAAACTCAGAGGCCAATCTTGTGGTTGTCACTGGGAAAAAACCAATGGCATCAGAACTTCTGTTGGGTGGTTGGTGAGCACTACAGAAAGGAGGCTATCTGATGGAATGCTGGAGTCAGAGTTCATAAGCAAAATTTAGTAAACACTTTACCAGTGCTAAGCGTGTGCAGAGGAGGGGGAAAGCTAGTAGGTACAGAGTGTTAAGTAACAAAAGTAAGAAATACTCTCTACCCTTAGGTTCTACACAATCCTATGAGGTGCGGGGGAGACCTACTGAGTTTACAACTGCTGAACTTGAAGTTGGGGTGAGTAGTCTGCCTTCAAACGTCTTCATGTCCTTAATATTATATTAGATTAATCTGTGCAAATATGATTCAGAATGGCACAATCTTATTTTTTTCTTGTTAATGTCAAGGGCTTGAAAGAACTAGATATCATCCAGACCTGAACTGCCATCCCTGCTTTAAAGTTAGTGGAAAGATGTGCTTTCCAAATCCTTTAATTCTCTTTCTGTGGTTCTTAAAGCACTGGTCATTTTTACATGCAGGGATCTAATCAGACATTGGTTCTCTGAGGATATCTTGCAGCGAAGCAGAGAAAGCCAGGCCCATAGTCCTGGGAGCTTGTCTGATCCTGGAAAAACTGAAGTTTGTTGGTGATACTTTCAAGGGTCTGAGTGGACATACAGGGTCTAGCAAGGGAAAGGAAGAAGGGAAATACTGCAGGCTCTGCCTGCCTGGAGGGTGCCTGGAGGGTGCTTTCCAGATTGGTGGCATTGTCTTATCTCATTTAGCATTTCCCTGGGACAAATGTTTCTCTGGCATCCCACTGAGCCAGAAAGTTGGGACACAAGCACTTTCTTTTTCTTTTTTAACTTAATTTTATTAGCCTGGAGCTAAGGGGTCCTGACTAGAAACAAACTTTTTTTCCCCTTAGCATGGATACAAGCACCATCTCAAAAATGTCCTTGAGGAAGAAAATAACATCCCAGTTTCCTCACAGAGAAGAAGCCACCAAAGAAACAGTTAAGACTTTCATATAATAGTTTCACGAGGCATAGTCACTTTAAAATTTGTTGTTGAAAATAATTATCCCCTTTGATCACGTTTTGCAATGTGTGATTGGCAGGAAAGTGGGAAGCGTACTGGATGTCTTTCAGTGTTCGGGAAGACCTGTTATCTGGACACTGAGAAAGACTAATGTTTCTTGTTCTTGGTTGAATCTTGTATTTAAAAACTTTATTTAAAAAAGATTATCATATAGTTTTGATTTAAGTCTAAGAAAAGTGAAAAATAGTAAAAGATGTGAAATTAAAGTCCTCAGTTTGCCATTTACTTTCTGTGTGGCCTAAGGCAAATTGCTCATCTTTTCTGAACCTCTTTCGATTCTAGGGAGGTAAGAGGAAAGCAAGGGACAGAGAAGAGCGAAAAGGGCAAGAAGCCACAGGAAGGAGTGAGGCTGTGGGCTACAGCCAGTAGAAATTCCTGGTGGTGGTGGGTGGTGGTAGCCAAAGGCCACTTTAAGAACTAATGAAATTATTGATATTTACCCTTCTTTGTGCATCAGCCCACCCACTACAACCATCCCCTTTAAAACCTCTTGGTTAAAGTCTGTTATACTCATGAAGGTTCTGTGTGAGTAGGAATACTTTGTGGAAATTGAGGAAGATGTTGATTTTCATATCAGTGTCTATGTATATTAAATAGAAACAGCTCCTAAAGAAGGAGTTTGGAGCTGCAGGTGACCATGAGAATATAAGGCTCCTGGGAATTTGCAGAAATCTTGGGGAGGGCTTTTGCTTTCCAGGCATGGGGCTAGGGGTTGAGCAAATCTTACACAAGTTTCAAGGTGCCGGGAGACTCATCTGATATCCAGGTAACACATGATAAGACCCTTTTTTCTAGCATATCCACAAAGTAATTTTCTAGGCTGATTGAGTTCACTGCCAGATATGCAAATGGACTGCAAAGGAACCCACCTCTTTTTTTCATTTTCAGAGAAGAAAATGTAGCCGTCTTGTGGGGAGTGACAGCAAAGGCTCTGTGGAAGGCAAATTAAGGAGAGAGAATGGTGAGGATCTCATCTGTGGAATTCCCAATCCCATTTCAGATCCCATTTCTGCCTTCCCGGAGGATCACAACCTCTTCATTCCTTTTGTGCCTATTTCCATTGTGGCACAATTAGCAGATCATTAAATATTGGTCTGCTGTATATTGTCTTGACTAAAATCCTTCATGATTTTTTTCCTCCAGACAATCTCTCCCATCCCTCACCCCAGCCAACTTGACCACCCTGAACTCCCCCCAGTCTGGTACCCACCTCTGGTCTTTGTTCAAACCAGTCTCTATGCCTGTAATACATGTCCTGGTCTCATCTGCCTGTACACTCAGTAGTAACTTTCTCTATGATGTTGTTTCTTCCTGTTGCCATTAACCCAGACAGATGTCTGTCAGGGAACTATGACTCTCTACTGCGTTGACTTGCTGTGAGCCTCTTTCCCACTGGAGGACCAATTTCTTGAGGGCAAGTTCTGTGGTCAACAATGCTTAACACATCATGGCACTTACAGTCTCTCTAGTGAGAAGGACTTTCAACAAATGATCAACTAACTAGTTAAGGAATTGATTAAAATTGTGATATGTGCTGTGGTGAAGTAGAAGTTATAACAGAGAGCCCTTACTTGGTCTGGGAGTCAGGGAATGCTGAGGAGTGCCGTTTAACCTCAGTAATTATTTCTGTATAGCCTTGCCTCCTGATGGAGTTTGGATGTGTTGTCCCCTCCAAAACCCATGTGGAAATTTGATCTCCAATGTGGCAGTGTTGGAAACTGATTGAGTCATGGGGGCAGATCCCTCATAAATGGATTAATGCTCTCCCTGGGGGAGGGGGGTTTAATGAGTGAGATCTCATTCTATTAGTTCCCCTGAGACCTGATTGTTTAAAGCACCCTGGCACCTTCTCTCTCTCTCTCTCTCTCTCTCTCTCTCTCTCTCGCTTCCTCTCGCCATGTGATCTGCTTGTACCCACCAGCTGCTGCCACTTTCCACCATGAGTAGAAGCAGCCTGAGGGCCATGCCAGATGCAGCTGTCCCAGAATCGTAAGCCAACACAAAATGGACTAAAACAGAAAATTGGTACTGAGGAGTGGGGTGTTGCTATACAGATATCTGAAAATGTGGATGCAGCTTTGGAACTGGGTAATGGGCAAAGGTTGGAGGAGTTTGGAGGACTTAGAAGAAGAGAAAAAGATGAGGGAAAGTTTGGAATGTCTTAGAGACTTATGTGGTGGTGACCAGAATGCTGATAGAAATGTGGACAGTAAAGGCCATGTGGATGATGAGGTCTCAGATAGAAATGAGAGACTTATTGGGAATTGGACAAAAGATAACCCTTGCTACACCATAGCAAGGAATCTGGCTGCATTGTGTCCATGCCCTTGGACTTTGTGGAAGTTGGAACTTAAGAGTTGTAAACCAGAGCATTTGGCCAAAGAAATTTCTAAGCAGCAAAACATTAAGGATGCTGCATGGCTACTTCTAATAGCCTACTCTGGATTATGGCAGCAAAGGCATAACATAAAGCCGGAATTTAAAAAGGAAGCAGAGTGTAAAGTTTTGGAAAATATGCAGCGTGGCCATGCAGTAGAGGAGTGGAGAGCAGGAGAAAAATGCAAGGGTGAAGCAGATAAACTGTTTGCTAAAGACATTATCTTGGTAGTGAGGCAGCCAGATGCTAAGAACCAGGACAATGGATAAAATGCCCTAAAGGCATTTGAGAAGTCTGGAAGGGTGCCTCACCCATCACAGGCCCTGAGGCCTAGAAGGACTGAGTTATCCTGGAGGACAGACCTGGGGCACAGCTGCCCTCGGAATCCTGCTCCCTGCATCCCAGCTGCTCTGGCTGGAGCAGCCCCAAGTGTGGTTCATGCAGCAGCCCTGGAGAGTAGAGGCCCGAAACCTCGGTGGCATCCACATTGCATTAAGTCTGCAGGCCAGCAGGACATGTGAGCAGTGGAGGTGTGGCAGCCTCCACCCAGATTCCAGAGGATGTATGGAAAAGCCTGGGGACCCACGCAGAGACCTGCTGCTGGGGTGGAGCCACTGCAGAGGCCATCTACTAGAGCAATGCCAAGCAGGAAAGTGGGGTCGGAGCCCCCACAGAGAGCCCCCACCAGGGAAATGTCTAGTAGAGCCAAGGAAGCAGGGCTGCCACCAGAACCCCAGAACTGTAGGGCCACTGGTAATGTGCAATGCAGGCATGGAAAAGCCACAGGCACTAGCGCAGCCCACTGGGCTGTGGCTGGCAGAGCTGTGGGAACAAGGCTGCCTGATGCTTTGGGGGCCCAGATGCCCCAGTGTGCCCAAGATGCAGGAGTTGGAGTCAAAGAAGATTATATTGGAGCTTTAAGATTTAATGTCTGTCCTGCTGGGTTTTGGACTTGTTTGGGGCCTGTTTTTCCTTTCTTTTGGCCTATTCCTCCCTTTTGGAATGGGAATGTGTACCTAATGTCTGTTCTGCCATTGTATTTTGGCAGTAGATAAATTTGGTTTTGTTTTTCAGGTTCACAGCTGGAAGGACTTTTGCTTTTTGTCAAGGATGATACTTTGGACTTTTAAGTTGGTGCTGGAGCAAGCTGAGACTTTTGAGACTGTTGGGATGGAATGACTGTATTTTGTATGTGAGAGCGACATGAGTTTTGAGGGGCCAGGGGCGGAGTGATGGAGTTTGGATGTGCTGTCCCCTCCAAAACTCATGTGGAAGTTTGATCCCCAGTGTGGCAGTGTTGGAAACTGATTGAGTCATGGGGGCGGATCCCTCATGAATGGATTAATGCTCTCCCTGGGGGAGGGGGGGTAGTGAGTGAGTTCTTGCTCTGTTAGTTCCCGCGAGACCTGATTGTTTAAAGGACCCTGGCACTTCCTTTCTTTCTCTCTCTCTTGCTTCCTCTCTCGCCATGTGATCTGCTTGTACCCGCCGGCTGCCTGCTACTTTTCTGCCATGAGTAGAAGCAGCCTGAGGCCCATGCCAGATGCAGCTATCCCAGAATCGTAAGCCAAATAAACCTCTCTTCTTTATAAATTACCCAGTCTCAGGTATTCTGTTATAGCAACACAAAACGGACTAATACACCTCCCCGACCTCAATGTAAAGCCCCATGGGCAGGGACCTCGTCACATACCTTTTGTGCCCTACCAACACAGGGCCCACCACAGTGGAGTTCCCTGCTTTTTGCATCCCCCATGACATGTGGGGCTCCCCTCCCTTGAGTCAGCCTTGCTGATCAAGGCCATGTGTACACATTGTAAACAGGCAGAGAGGTCAGCATGTCATAGTGGGTGTGCGAGTTAGGAGGAGTCTAGACTGACATTGCCAGTGGGACAGTTGTGTTTCTCTTGCAGATTGTCACCACTTAATCTTTTATGTGTTGTTGCATGGAGTGTGGAGGCTTTAATGGGGTGAGATGAAAGGAAAGCCCTTGCCCTAATTAGTATTGGCTGGCTTCTAAGCAATGGCTGTCATTGTGAGGCTGAACTGTAGCAGCTCCCTTTGGATTCTACCCTTGCACATCATTCTGTGGGCTTAGTAGTGCCTCCTCTAAAGACAATTATGTCTGACCAGGCACAGAGCATGACAAGAGAGAGTAGGATGGCTTGATAGCATCGTTATCATCGTGACCCGCTTCCAAAGAGACTTGGCTGTTCACAGTGGACACAGCCTGATGGTCAGACCTGCCCTTTCAGTATAAGACGGCAGTCTAAAAGTGAAAGTACCTCCCAATGTATGGCTGGTTCCTAAAGTAAACCTAATAACACTTTTCTAGCTGAGAGGAAGGTTTATTTTTAAAGTATAATGCAAACCCCGATGTGATCTCAACTCAGAATCTGAGTGTGCCCATTTCGTGTGACACTAGGAAGCCAGTTTTATTATACAATCATCACACTTTCTGTTACCAAGCCATTTCCAAAATGAATCCATGTTTTAAAAAATGATTCTCCAGTTCAAATATAGAGAATTTGAAACAAAAAGTGTGCCCAGTTCTTTCTGTTTATGTTGAGCAGAAGGCTGGCTGGTTAGCTCAGTTGGTTAGAATATGGTATTATAACACCAAGGTCAAGGGTTCAGATCCCTGTCCTGGCTAGCCACCAAAAAAAAGAAATAAAAAAAAAGAAATAAACGGTATGTTGAGCATAACTGGTGTGTGCGTGTGTGTGTGTGCGTGTATGTGTATGTGTGTGCATGTATGTGTATGTGTGTGTGTGCGTGTGTGTGTGTGCAAGCTCCTATAGGTGAAGGTATGACAGAGAATGATGAGGCAGAAAAAGAGGGCAAGTGCTGAATTCTCCACATCACCTCTGGATTGTATTTTTAGTCCTCCAAGGTCAGTGTTGATTGTGTAAACCCAATATAAAATTTTAAAATCCCAAAGCAAAGTAAGATAGGTTCTTACTGTAACTCGACTTCCGTTATGTTCCCAGAATCAGGAGACATCCAGTCTGCCTTGAAGAGCATGTTGATTGCGCGTGTCACGTGATACAGGGAGCTGCTATAGCATTGCTCGTCTGCGTCCTGCCAGAAGCCCACGGAGTTGTTGTTGTTGTCCACTGCTCGCAGGACCACGGAGCTGATGCTGTCATCCACAGGAACCCACACTAGGAGGAAATGACGAGGAGACAATAAGCCATCGTTCAGTGTGAGCCCAGGGATGAGGGACACAAAACCAAAATTAAGTGTGAAGAGAGAGAGTTACAAAGAGTATGTACATGTGGCAATGGTCCCATATTTATAAAAGAAGTTGAAGAAAGTCTGGAAGGAAATACATCAAGATATTAACTGTGGTGTTTTCTTGGTAGTGGAATTACAGGTGATTTTTTTCTTCCTAGTGGTTTTTCATGTTTTCCAAATTTACTACTGTAAAAGGTAGACAAAAGAAAACCTATGCTCTGTGTCTGGCTTTGCTACTTACAAGGGGTGAGATCCCGGGAGTCGAATCTCTTAAACTCTCTGAGTTGGGTCCCACCTGCCAGAGGAGGGGGATTACTTCCTCTGGCAGGGGGTGGGGATAAAGAGGTCGATGCACGTGAAAGGGTCATGTGGCCCCTGAGAAGTGCTGCATGAATATGAGGCAATGTTATTGCCAAGTGAAAGCAAAGCCTGTTTCCTTGTCCAAGAAATGCTGATTCTCTTAGCCTCTGTGGGGAGGGGCATCTCTGAGCCACAGGGTCCCTAATCCAAGTACCTGTCAAATAACCCCTTAGAGTTATTCTCCACTCAGGTGTTTCTTCCCCTGTGACCCAGCCAGGCATGCACCCACAGGGGACCTCGCTGACATTTGTTAACTCCACTTGTTAATTTCTGATGTGTGATGGGGAGGGAATTTCAGAGTAAAGTCTCTTCATTTCTTTCCTTAGGAGATCCCTTCTGAATGATTACTCAATGCTAGGGTGTTGTTCTCTCCAGGGCTCTGTCAGCCACCTGGAATTCCTCCAAAGACTTCTTCAGGAAGCAAAGAAGGTAGATCCTGTAGCACAGTAGAATCAGACCATCCTGGATCTAAATTCTGTCTCTAACACTTAGGAGCAAGTCATTTTGCCTCCAAGTCATCATTCACTCCACAAATATCTCTTGAATGCCCACTTCGCACCTGGTCTCGTTCTAGGTCTGGGGATAATAACATTATTCCCCATTATTTGAGTTCACGATACCTATCTTGAAAGGTTCCTGGGAGGATGAAAGAGAAGAGCTTAAAGATTGTAATACATGGTAGGTAGTGGATAAATAGCAATTGTTATTATATAATCTTTAGCACACTACAGTTCTCTGTTCTACTTATTTGTTTTGCCAATCAAGGCCTGATGACTCAGTTCCCACAGGCCCCCACTTGCTCAGTGAGCACCTGACATCTGTCCTAGATCTGTGCATCATGGTGCGGTGGAAGGTGACAAGTGACGGTGTCATCCAGATAGTCATCAAATCTCCTGGAAGTGCTCTCGCCTCTGTCCTCTCCTCTGCTTTCCCCCTTTCGCTCTGGGTCAAGTCTTCCTTTCTTCTTTCCTAGGCACCTGCATTATCTGGATTTCTGTCCTTAGGTTCTTTTCCCTTCAGGCTGCCTTGCTCCATGCTGCAGTCAGACTGGAATTTCTCACTCATGTCCATTAGGGCACACTCCTATCCAAAACCTTCAAAGTGTCTTCCTTCTAGAGCATCTAAACATTTCTGCTTTTATTGTTCTGCCTCTGTTCTATCAATTATGGTACCCAGTACATGGCTTTAGATCCCAAGAAGCTAGCCTCACTCTGCTGTTTGCATTCCCACTCTAGGGGCAGCTGTTCATCCCCTGTTGTGCAAATGCACCTGGCCTCACCTGCCCCTGGCCTCTGTTCATGCCTGGGTGCATGTCTGGCATCTTTCCTTCTCATCACACATCGCACCCCACTTACACTCCAAGATCCTGCTATGTCCAACCTTTGGACCAATGTAGGTCTCTTTTCCTCTTGCTCCTAAAACATTTACAATTTTTTACTGTAGAGTTGAATACTTAACTATATTCTGGCTTGTGCTATATATACTGTGGTTTCATCTGTGTCGGTATCTGGCCAGTGCTGGGCACCTGGAGGGCACTAAGTAACTACTTGTTGGTTGATTTAAAAAGTTGTGCATCTGATTTTGTATAGTGTCCTTAAAGCTGAAAGTTTAGGAAAAAAGACAGGTAAATTACATCTTTCTTGCTCATAAAAGTGAAAAATGGTGACAGATTTTTACCCAGCACCGTCTTTTTCTCCCCCCCAGCACAGTCTTAACGTAAATGTCACTGTATTAAGGGTTTCTTTCACTGATATCAGAACAGATCCAGGGAACCTGTTCTGAGATATTGCCTAAGCTATGGTTGTCTCTTGGGATCTGCCAAGCCATTTACACATGGCTTACCAGTGTTGACATAACCCTGGAATTTAGCCTTTGTTTTTTCCCTCCTTCCTTTTTCTCTGGCTCCAACTAACACATCTGTAACTGCTATGATTGTCCTTTCATCCCTGTGGATTGTCTTGACTCTTCCTTCTCCTGTCTTCTTCCTTTCAGAAGGTTCTCTCATGTGTCCCTGTCCACAGCATCTTTCCATTATAAATTTTCCTTTCTTCCATTTCAGTAGCAAAATCCTTTACCTCTGAAGTGTCGTTGTACATCAAAGGCCTGTAATCTCTTTTGCAGTAGAGCCTCTGACTCCCCAGGTCCTGCCCCAGGTCACACATATGTGTCCACCTGGTGCTCACCTTGAATTCCAAGATTATCCTCCCTGCCCTGGCAGGACAAGATCTACTGCCTGAGGGAGTGGGACATAGTCAGCCTGTCACAACTGGAGCACTTAGTGGCAGTCCCCATGAAAAAGCAGAAAAAAAGACAAGCCAGAAGGAGTGTGTGAAGGCACACCATAGTTACTCACCTGCTGAAGTCTGAAATCCATAGACCGTGAGTGTGGATATACCCTGGTGGTCTCAGAAAAATGTGGTTAGACTTTTAAGAGGCAGAGGCAGGATGATGTAGTGGACAAGAAGACAGGCTCTGAAGCTGGACAGGCTGGCTGGACAGAGCTGGACAAATCGTGGCTGTGTAATTTGTGCTTATATATTAGCTAAGTTACTTACTAGTAACCTTGGGTAAATTTTTAGGTTCTCTGTGCCTCAGTTCTCATTTGTAAAATAGGGAAGATAGCATTTTCCCTTAAAACATTTCCGGCACGTAGTAAGTGTCAGCTCTCATTACTATAATCGAGAGGTGTTTAGTGGTTAAGGCAGAGTCTCTGAACCTAGACTGCTGGTTCATATACTGGCTCCACCATTTAAGTAGCTCTGTGACTTGAGTAAGTCACTTAGCATTTCTGACTCTGTTTTCTCATCTACAAAAAAGGAATGATAATGGTGTCTACCTATAGGTTATTACGAGGGCCAAATGCATTGATACACGTAAAGCACTGTATTAAATGTTGTTTTGATTATGAAACTAATTGGAAAGCATATTCCTTGACTTGTAAGTTTGGATGATCCAAAAAAAGAAAGCATTTATAAAATACTTACCAGACACCTCTAAGAAAAGTATTGGATTAAGAATGAAAATACCAAGATTCAAGAGCTAGTTTTGCCACTTATTAGCAGGGAGGCCCTGAGCAAGTCATTTTACTTTTCTGGGCTTCAGGCTCCTCATATATCAGGGGGAATGGTAATGCTCTCCCTGTCCAGCTCCCTAGATTTTTCACCCATATATGAAATGCTAATAGTGCCTCCTGGAGTTGTACAGTATCCTATCACGGATATGAAAAGACTGCATGCTGTGATGCAATGATTATCCCTTAAAGTAATAAAAATTCTCATTTTATTTAAGTCATAGAGTTTGCTCCACGTGTGATCTTGCTGGGGCTTAGTTAATTTAGGTGTCTGGACTTTATGATTCCTATGGCTCAGGTTCCACAGGAAACATACGGAAATGTTCCTGCCAATCTATGCTCTCACATCTTCTCATTCTTTCTCTCTCTCCCCCCACTTCCCATCTGGTTCAAAAACACATGTTTTGTGTAATTGAGAGCAAGGATATGTTCTGAAATTCTGGTTAACTCCCCTCAGAGAGCAAAGGACAGCAGAAAGAATGGCTTCTACTCACCTGTGTAGGCAGTGCTGCTTTCATAAATAACCGAATTGGCCGTGATGCCTGGGCTGGTGGTAGTGAAGACCTTATCAAAGACCGTGCAGTTGTCACTGTAATTTGCAGGGCTGGCAGAAGAAAATTGCAGTCCAAGGTACAGAAACAGCCCCAGTGGCAGCAGCATGGAATGGAGGAAAGCCATGGTTTTGGTCTGGGCCTGCAACTGGATAAGACTGAAAACTCACCTCCTGTTTATATTATGCTCCAGGGCTAGAGCTTCTGGATGAGGTCATGCATACAAATCTTCTTCCCACCCCTCCTGAAACACACTGGCTTCTGGAATTTGGCCCAAGATATAACTAGGGATGACTCACCACTCACCAGTTACCTGTTATCAATGAAATTTTACCAACTCCAGTTTTGCTCAAGAAGGGAAATGTGCTGATTATGGTTTTATTTTGCATCTCACTCATCTTAGCATCTGCTACTTGCAGAATGCTGTTGAGAAGGGGTAAATACCAGCAGAGAAAAATTCAGAGTTGAGTAATAATCACATACGTGGTCCATTTAGAAACTCTGCTCTACTCCGTGCAGGAGACCCAGGCATAAAAGCCCTCTTTTCTGGAATATTGCATATCCTCTTCCAAACCTTCTTAGTAGAATAAGTCTCTAATCCCTAGTTCATTTTGTGACTAGCATAGGATTAGAAAGACTGTACTTCTGGATTTATATTTATTTCTTTGGAAAGAGACATTTTAGGTCTACCTTGCTCCTGACAGTTCCTTCCATAGTGCCATAGCACAAGGAAATTACTAAAAAAAATCAGAAAATATGTTTTTTCATATCTCCCCTCTGAATTTTATGATTTACTCACTGAAGGAGAAAAGAAGTGTGCTACTTTGTAAGTAGACAAAAAAAATGTAGAATGGGTAAAGGTAATATATAAGTCTTTCTTCAAGAGCAGCACTTACAGAATGGTGCAGTAAGGACCTCTGGAAAATATACTGCTCCATAAAAGCAATGAGAACACTAGCAAAAATGGCCAAAATCAACTTTTTCAGAACTCTGGAAATGAAACAAAGACTTGCAACACTCTGGGAGCATTTATTTAAGAAAAATGGCTGAATATCATTAAGAAGTGAGCAGTGTGGCATTTTAACTTGTCCTAGTCCCATCGCCTTGCCCCACCTCCATGGTAGCCTTGGAAATCAACAACCGTGGAAATATGGTAGCTACGAACAGCAGGAAACTAGAAGCCAATGGAAGGTGACAGAACAGGTTTGGAGCTTTCCAAAAAGCCTCAGCCCCAGAGAATTGTCACTATTTACCTGTCTGGAAATTGCCCATTAAGCTTCATTCTCAGGGCTTGTCTTTATTTGACCTGACTCAGAATCTTCTCAGTGTGAGCAGCCTTATTGCTAGGTTGTTTGTCAAAACAATCAGTGAGAATTTTTAAACATTCCAGTTTCCTGAGGCAGTGATTCCAGTTGGAACTAACAAGAGGCTAAGTAAAATACATAAAAGAAAAAAACTGGGGAATGAGATGTCCATAGGTGGCTTTGAAAAGCTTGAACAAATTCCTGAGAATCTAGAAGACCATGTGCATGTGCAGGGCTATGCGTGTACCCAGGAAAGACCTGAGAAACCCCTAATCTCTCATCTCTGTCTGACCTAGAGGCTTGGCACAAGCAGGAAGTGAAGGCTAAGGCAGAGTTGTAAACTGCCTATCTGATAAATGAGGGCATGCCTGAAAACACACATACAGAAGCACTTGGCAAAGACTGGGAGACTTATTGGTTCCAAGCATTTAAGGAAATCTTTATCTATTCATTAGCTGACTGCTAAACAAACTGAGCAGAGACTTCAGTGGTCACACATGATAAAGAATACAGACATTACAGAATCAATTCAGGAAAGTCATAAAACAAACAAATAGCAGAAGCAGCATAATAAACCCAGGGAGGGGAGGGGAATCTGATGTCCAGTTACCAGATTATATTTTTTATTTGGTTTTTGGTGCCTGGTTGGTATGGGGATCCAAACCCTTGATCTTGATGTTACAAGGCAGTGCTTTAACCAACCAAGCTAATGAGCCATCCTGCCACAGTGTGTGTGTGTGTTGTGTGCATGTGTATGTGTGTGTGTGTGTGTGTGTGTGTGTGTGTGTATGTGTGTGTATATATACACACACACATATTTTTTTGGCAGCTGGCCAGTACAGAGATTGAACCTTGGACCTTGGTGTTATCAGCACCATGCTCTAACCAACTGTGTTAACTGGCCAGCCCCATGCCACACTATATTTTTTAAACGTTCAGTTTCAACACAAAATTACAAGACATGTAAAGAAACAAGAAATTATTCCCATACAGAAGGAAAAAAAAAATCCCAGTCAGCAGAAACTGTCCCTGAGGAGGCCTAGATGATGAACTCACTAGACAGAGTCTTAACTTTACAAATATGTTCAAAGAACAAGAAGAAACCATGTCTAAAGAATTAAAGTATGAGAATGATGTCTCATCAATTAAAGAATAATAATAAAAATATAGAAATAATAAAAGAAGTAAATAGAAATCCTGCAGTTGAAAAGTCCAATAACTAAAATTAAAAAAAAGAAATTACTAGAGAAACTTAACAGCAGATTTAAACTGGTGGAAGAAAGTATCAGTAAACTTGAAGATAGGTTGATTGAATAAATTTAACAAAAGAAGTGTAAGACTTGTACACTGAAAACTACAAGGGACCCAGAATAGCCAAAATGATACTGAAATAACATCAACAACAACAAACTTTGAGGACTCACATCTCCCAGTTTTAAAACTTGCTACAAAGCTACAGTAATCAAAACAGTGTGGTATTGGCATTAGGAGAGACATATAGATCAATGGAATAGAATTGAGAATTCAGAAATAAACCCATACACTTATGATCAACTGATTTTTTTTTAAAAAAGATGACAGGTAAGGGTATCTTAACCCTTGACTTGGTGTTGTCAGCACCATGCTCTCCCAACTGAGCCACAGGCTGGCCCTGATCAACTGATTTTTGACAAAGTGCTGAGACAATTCAATGAGGACAAGTCTTTTCAACAAATGGTGCTAAGACAACTGGATATTCACATACAAAAGAATATAGTTGGACCCCCTACCTCACACCATACACAGAAATTAACACAGGCTGGATCAATGTAAAACTAAATGTAAATGTAAAACTAAATGTAAATATAAAACTATAAAACTCTTAGAAAAAACATAGATAGAAATCGTACTAACCTTGGTTTAAGCAATGGTTTATTAGATATAACTCCTAAAGCAACATTAAGCAAAGAAAAAAATAGATAAGATGGACTTCATCAAAACTGAAAGCTTTTGTTCTTCAAAGGACACTATCAAGCAAGTGAAAAGATAACCCACATAATGGGAGAAAATATCTGTAAATCATATATCTGATAATGGCCTACTGTTCAGAATATATAAAGAACACTTGCAACTCAACAATGAAATTTAACTTAAATATTGCAGTTATATCAAAATTTAACTTAAATATTGCAGTTAAAAAATGGGCAAGGTATTTCAATGCTTTCTCCAAAGAGATATACAAATGACCAATAAGCATATAAAAAGATGTTTGACATAATTAGTCATTACGAATGTTCAAATCAAAACTACAAAGAGATTCTACTTTACAGCCACTAGGGTGACTGTAATTAAAATAAGAGAATAACAAGTGTTGACAAAGATATGGATAAATTGGAACTCTCATGCATCACTGATAGGAATGTAAAATGATGTAGCCACATTGGACAACAGCTTGGCATTTCTTCAAAACGTTAGATATAAAGTTACTGCTGTATAACGTAGGAACTCCCCTCCTACATATGTACCCAAGAGAATTAAAAATATATGTCCACACAAAAATTTGTACATGAACATTTATAGGAACATCATTCATAATAGCCAAAAAGTGGAAACAATCCAAATGACCATCAACTCATGAATGAATAAATAAAATGTGGTATGTCTGTATAATGGACTATTATTCAGCCATAAAAAGGAATGAAGCACTGATGTACGCTATAACATGAATGAACCTTGAAAAGATTATGCTAAGTGAAAGAAGCCAGACACAAAAGACAGTATGCTGTATGATTTCACTTATATAAAATATCCAGAATAGGCAAATCTGCAGAGACAGAAAGTGGTGGCCAAGCACTGGGGAAAAGGGGAATGGGAAGTGACTGCTAATGGATTTGGGATTTCTTTTTGAGGTGATGAAAATGTACTGAAAGTAGGTAGTGGTGATGGTGTCACAGCCTTGTGAATATACTAAAAACCACTGAATTTAACTTTATGGAATGTGAATTATATCTCAATAAAAATTTTTATTTATATAATATGCTATGTAGGCAAATTGGGGTAGTAGAAAAGATGCAACAGGATCTTACTGTTTGATCCTGTTCAGAGAGTTTTTTTTGGGAGAGTTTTTTTACCTATCTGAGCTTTAGTCTCCACTTCTGAAAATTGGGGCAATAATACCAATCTTATATATTTTTACGTATATTAATGAGACATAGATGCAAACAGTTTTGGGGATGGGGTGGGCCTGACATATAGTAATTTTGAAAAAAAATTATTTTTTTGAGGTACGAATATTGTTTTATTTCTTTTTCTAAACAACAGGCTATTCATGACATACAGTAGATTTTTAACATGTTAATTAGTTGCCTTCCTTTGTTCCTTCCTTCTTTCCTTCCTAAATTTGTACTAGATTAAGGCAGTGTATCAGGAGAAAATAAAATATAGGAGTCCCGCTGTTGATATGGAGACAATAGTCTAAACCTTTCTATGAACTAGGGAACAGAGGGTTGGGGGATGGGGAATAACTTGGAAGGGAAAACTGATTTAAGTAGAATTGCTTCATTCATTTACTGCAGTGTGGAGCTCAGGGCAGGAGAGAGCCAGTGTGGAGCTGCTTGCATTGCTTCTAAGGAGAAGGAAGTATCTACTTGCTACAGGGACAGCTGTTGACAAAACAAAGTTGTTCTTTGGTTCCAGCCAGAAAAAAACTTGATTTTTCTTGATGACAAGTGACCAAAAGAAAATTAGTTATAAAAAAATACACATTTTTGGCCGTTGCTCTTTTGCTCCATCCCCTTTTCTGGAATTTTGGACTCTAGTTCCTAGAAATTCACACTTTTTAAAAGCCTCATAGGTGAGTCTAGAACAGTGCTTTTAAAACATTAATGTGCTTTCAAGTCATCAGAAGCATTTTGCTCACATGCAGTCTCTGCTTCAGTAGGTCTGCTGTGGGACCTGAAGCTCCTCATTTCTTTTTTTTATTTTTTTTTTTTTGTCTTTTGTCTTTTTTCCGTGTCCGGCAACGGATTGCAACCCTCAGTGTTGCCCCCGTACCGGACCGGGACCGGCAACGGGATCGCAACCCTCGGCGTTGCTCCCACGC